ATCCCCATACTAATATATGTACCTACATACAGCGCCGGACATAATGATAAGGTCAGCCAATATCTATTAATAAGTTTTGCATTTTTTTTTTTTTCAATTTAATTTCAATTATTTTTTTCATAAAAATATTCATTCTATAACAAAAACCTTATAAATCCTACTTTAAAACTTTGTACAGTTTCATCAAAAGTTTGAGTATGACTATGAACGATAAAACTGTCCATTCAATTCTAGTATAATGAAGTGCAAGCTTGCAGTTGCTACAAAATACCGTTGATTTTTATTTTTTTTTTTTTTTTTTTGTTGACGGTGTTATCCATTTTCCTGCATATAAAACAACTCTTACGAAAGTCAGCACTTTCATCGTGCAGCTCTAAAAACGAACCATGAATAAAGCTTTACGGCACTATTAAAACCCGCGCTTTATAGCCATGTCTAAATGATACCCGACAAATAAAAAGTAATGGTGGCGCCAAAAATTGTGGATAGTTGTCAAAATAAGTGTTTACTTAGATAAAATAAAAATAAAATTTGGTACATACTACCAAAAAAGAAGACTTAATGACGTATTACAATGTTGAAGTTTTTTTTTTGGAAACAAACTTCCTATTCCTCTGTAACTTACTTACTTTTTATGGCGCGAAACATTTGCACAAAAACTCATTAATGCGACTCATTGAATATCCTTTAATGGCGCATGAACATATCCACATGTGTACGTTTGTATGAGCGCTTGTGTGTAATTATGAAAATGAGTTTTCACGGCAACACATTTATTTATATTTTTGTATATGTGTATTTGACTTAAAAATATATTACCTACACGAACGAAAGTGCATTTATCCAACAGCTATCTATAAATTGCATGGCTGGTCCCATGAATGAGCAGCCAAGCCAACAAATCCATTTGCAATGCCATGCCATGCAATGCGAATGACTTTTGTATAGATGAAACGAAATGATTTCGCAAATGCAAAACCATAGATAAATAAATTCGACTGCAAAATGAAATTTGCTGCAATGTAAGGCATAATTTATGCAAGGCACTTTTGTATGCGTTCCTGCAGCAGCGTTGTTGAACGTCGCAGAAGGGCAAGCTGAGGCAAAGGTCGGTTGGCGGGTCGACGGGTCGGTAGGTAACAGCTGAAAAACATTAATTTTCTGTATGTTCATTATGGTGCCAAGTAGTAATGGTGAGAGTGGCGGAGCGCCGAGCGTTGCAGGCGTACGTTCCCGACAAAAACCGTCCAGCGCACAATGCCCGAAAACTGGTACTTTTCACTCTTTGTCGTTTACAGACTTCAACGCTATTTCCATCTCAAACAAAGAAACATGCAATAAATTGTATGTACTTTCTTCTTAACTAATGCAATTGTATTCCTATCGCCCATATGCGATGCACTGCCCCGTCCTCACTAAGTCCATGTCCTTTCATTGTACTTTACTTTAATCTTTCTGAGATGCATGATAAGGATTATGTGATACAATTCGTTTTAGAAGGCAGTCTTACGATGGCAAAAACTCCATTAAGTTATCCATTGGTGCATATGTACGAATAAATGTTGTTTTCTAGAATGACAACAACGATGATGGCAACGACAGAGGAAAATGTTGAAATTCAATG